ATAGAATCGTAAACTACGATCTAGACCACCAACTACCAAATATTTGGCTAATTCTCCGAATTTCATATCCGTAATTTCTGCGGTATTCTCGGAAATAACCACAAGCTCATTCCATGTTTTAGATTGATAAATTCTAAGAGAATATATATATATATATTATGAAATATAAATAAAGATGGTTCATCATTTAATAATTAACCGAAAAATAATGACCAACAAATACAAACCTCATGTCAGTTCCACCAACAGCTAAATAATGACCACTATAGTCCCATACAACCTTATTGATCTTTCCTTCATCAATAGTCAGAGTATGAAAATTCGATAATTTTCTAAGGTCCCATAATTTTACAAGATTATCCTCTGATGCAGTTGCTAAGAAATAACCATTCTCCGAGAAAGAAATCGATGTGACGCGACCAGTATGACCAGTAAAAGATGCAACATTTTGTTGAGATTTAACATCCCAAATGCGAACAACGGAATCGTTCGTTCCCGTTCCCAGGATGAGACCATCTGGATGAAACTCAACAGTCGAATATCCTATATTTCAAAAATCGAAATTGTCCAAAATTATAAAGTTCGCAAAATTCGATCATAAACAAAAAAAAAATAAAAATAAATAATAAATTTAATAATATACCATCGTTTACTTCGTTACTTTCTACCTTAGCCAAAGTTTGTACGGTTTCTATATCATGAAACGCCCATGTAGAGTCATGTGACACTGACACCAAATAATCTTTTGTGGCGTGTACGGCAATACCAGTGACTTCACTAGAATGTGATGTAATTGTCTTCTCCGTTTTGTATCCTAATATTTAATATTTGATGAAATGTAAAGAGTATGTCATAACATTGGAAGATATATCAATCTGAAATTTCGGTAATTACAAACCTTTTGTCTGAGGTCTCCAAATTCTGATAGTTTTATCTGCACTTGAAGTGAACACTGTGTCCCCTTGCTCAGAATCATTTCTTCCTAACCACAATACATCTGTGATTTTTTTAGTATGACCCTTCAACGTACTCTCAGTTTTATTCCTTTCTCTATTAAATATTTGTGCTTTCTTATCGTTTCCTCCAGTAAGAATAAGATTTTCAGTTTGGTCAATATCTATACAAGTTATTCCTGGACTGGCTGTGGTATGCATAGATGGAACAACCGCTATCTGTGTAAACTCTTTAATTGTATCAGCAGGGGTGAGATCTGGTGGTGCTTTTCTTTTCTTACGCGCTTTCGATAAACTTAATTGATAAAATATTAATGAATGTCGTATTGTATTACAAGTGTACATATATATATATATTCAAATAATTTGGCATACTTGGCGCTGGTTTCATTTAATTTTTCAATAACTACATCATTCACACCCTTTTTCTCCTCTTCTACTTCCATTGCAGTATTTGCTTCTGATGCAGCTGCGTCTGAAGGAGGTTGTACAGCAATATGAGCTTGAACATTTGCCAATGCTCTAATAAAATAATTAGTGATTAATATTAGTCACTAAATACAGATATAATCATGAGCATGGACGGTAATAATCACAAAAATTACTCTCTAGCAGCATCTCTCTCTTTCATCAATCTAGCAATGACTCTACATGCAGCATCATGCTGGTATAACGCGTGACTCAGTTCCTGACGAACTTGTTGATATTGCTGTTTAAGAGTAAAAGTTTCCAACATTAAGCTATCCCATTCATTTTGAAAAACAGCCAATAAAGATGGGATCGATGTCAAAGTAGGAGGTCGAGGTTTTATTGTTTTTGGACCTAGTCATACCAATCGATTAAAGTATAATATTAAATAAATTTTATCAATGTATAATACGTAAAATTAAAATTTTAACAAATTTTGCGTAAGGTTCAGATAAAATATTCTAATCAAATATAATCAGAAACAGCTTCTAGTTGTTTTTTTTTGTTTTAACTCATCCTTCACCGATCTTTGAAGGAGGTTTTTATTCATACATACTCGACTTTACTTCTAGTAAGT